CAGATTGATAATTCGTCTATCTTTCGAGTCCTGAATCGACAAAATTCCTTAATTTTGGTTTATTTGTTTGACAAAATCTCTTATCAGATGTTGGTTATATACTTCTGCAATGCATTCCCAACATCATGTTTTACTTAGGCATTTCATATGTTTATCAAGTTATGCCTATGCTAAAAGTTGAGCAAGATGCATAGTCCATTTTTGGATGGGTTGACCAGTTTAGATAGATATTTGACCTATCAAATCTACAAGATTCATTTGTGATAGATAGCTTAGGATTGGTTTGAAACTATTTTTAAAAAAGCACTTCTCAGCTTTTGGCTTTAAAAAAGCTCTTATTTTCCCAAACACTACAACTTTTATTTTTCTCGGCTTCCGCGTCAAAAGTGCTTTTACTTTTTCTATTACACAAAAAACACTTATTTTACCAAACACTACCCACTTTTACTTTTCAAAATCACTTTTTCTCAAACACTATCAACTTTTATTTAATCATTTCTCCTCATTTCATTGTAAAAAGCACTTTTTTAAAAGCAGAAGTTGTTGCTAGGGTTGTAAAAGAATCAAATAATTTGTGCTCGATTCGCGATTCGAATTTGTATAAGACGATTCGAATTCGGAAAATTCAAATACAAATACAAATAAGAATATTAAATTTGATTCGAGTTGTTATCAAATACAAATAAGAATATCAGTGTATTCGATTCGAATATTAATCAAATATATTCAATTAATAATAATGGTGATATTAATATCAATATTAATAATAATAGTAATAACACTATAATAACTTTTAAAAGATAACAATACCCTCAAATTGTAGCCCATATATACATTTTTTCATACAGATTCCGAGCCCATTTGTAATAAACCAGAATATAAATATGAATACAAATCAATTTGTTGGTTCAAATGTCTTTCAAATACAATATAGTACAAATAATTATGTATTCGATTCGAAGAATAAAATTAGAGTTATTTGACTTTGATATATATACAATTATCAACTTATTTCACACATTATAAGTATAATTTCTAATGTGTGTGTTATTGCTTTATTTCAAAAAGTTTGAAATAGATTTATATTTATTAATCATAAAGTTAATTCACTTTAGTATATTGTCCACCATCTAAAAATGCTTTGATCCATTAAATTTAAATTCTAAAAACACATATTACGTCATATCATGCATTTGCAAAAAAAACAAAGTCATAGCATGCATTTACAGCATAAAAAGTAGGGAGTATAAGAAAAGTTATTTTAAAGTGATATTTGACTAATATTTAATTTATGCTCAAATCGATTCGATATTCGTATAAGATTCGTTAACTATTCGTATTGTTAAACAAATACAAATACAAATCGAAATTAATATTCGTTTCATATTTGAATTCGAATTCGTATTCGAAAAAATTATACAAATACAAATACAAAATCTCATTATTCGACTCGATTCGATTCGTTTACAACCCTAGTTGTTGCAAACATACCCTTATTAGTTTAGCATGTTGAGCCTAAAGAGCTAAAAATTAGCTTTTTAGCTTTTTGTTTGGCGCCATGCGCATAATATAATATCCTAAAGTGACAGCCACTTATTATATGAAGTAATATTTTTTACCGTCACAATTTCATAAAACTTACGAGGTGTATGATGAAATGGTAATAATTAATTTAGAAGAAAAGGACACCATAGTAAGTAAGTTGATGGCAAAAATAAAACTTTAACCAAGCTTTCCAGCACAAAAGCTAAAGGTGCTTAGGTGCTTTCTAATCTTTGAACCACTACAAATTGGGAGACTATTTAACATGAAAATGGAAGTAGTTGCTTCCTCAACTTTGAAAGAGTCATGCCCTTATTTAGTACTCTTACCTTTCCATGATAATTTGCAAAGTTTTCTAAGTCAATGCAATTTTACTTTATCTATTTACTTAGTACTCCCTCCATATGTTAAAGATTGCTACATTAGTTTTGTGGCTTATAGATATTTAATGGTGTTCCCGCAAAGATTATTAAAACTAACTTTATTATTTGCCAAGATGATTACTCTATCGTCAATCAATTTTGAAAATTGCAATTCAATTTGAGATAGAGGAAATATGATGTGTTTCCTAGAGATAAGATAGTTACACAAGATCAGTCATGCAGGCAATACCTGTAGATTAATAATTTTCTTAAAACAATAGACAAAAATTAGATTTTTTACTATAAATCTAATGGAGTTGTATAATTACATATTTTTGTTATTGAAACTTGGGAGTGACTTTCTGCTAAAAATACTTTAATCTCATTGGGTGTTATTATGATTATTAATAGCTAATTACAATACTATATTTTCAGCCAGTGTCAACTTACCAGAGTAGTATAAAAATGGCTTCTCAATTCCAATTCAATTATCAAAGATTCAAAGCTACATTAGCTATATTTAAAATGTCTAGGAAATCCCTATCTTAAAACTGAAAACTTTGCTTTCCAATGTGTGTTATCTGCTACACCAAAAATCTTTGGAAGCATTTTAAAATAAAGCATCTGAAAGGAAATGTATAGTTTGGTGGTTTTGATAATGTTCTAAACTGCAATTTGGTTTTGTTCATCCTATAAGAACTTTGTTTTCTATTAATCTTAGTTTCCTTTTAAACTCTCCAACAAAACGTGAAGAGGAGCATAAAGGAGTATAGGCAGAACTTAGAGATGGAGCTCTCCAACATTTGCAGTGACATCGTGACTGTGATCGATGATCATCTTATCCATATCTCTTCTACTAGAGAGTCTACAATGTTTTATACAATATGTGAGAGGTGGATCTGTGACCATATTTTTCTGTCTTTTAGTTATTTGTCAGCTTTTGGGTGATTATTAGATCAATTTTACTTTTTAATTGCAGGAACGGGGATTCTTCTCGATACCTTTCCGAGTTTAAAACTTGTGATGACTAGAAAGAAGTTGCCGATCTTTCTCTGAAAGCATATGAAGTACACATAATTGTAGTTTATCACTTTAAGGCTATGCCCGGATCATAAAAACTATCAGGGAAAAGGAAAACATTGCCAAAGAAAGTTATTTACTTATGGTTGTGTTTTATCTCGAAAACTGTGAATGAAAGTTACAAGTGATAAAAATTTAAATTGTATAACATGTGTTTTGTTTTCTTAGTCTTTTTGTTATTGAAATGAATAACTAAAATTAGTTTAACCAAAATATAAAAAATAATGATCTCGAGTTTGAGACTTCGACTCAACCTTTTATCTTCCTCCGAGTTTTCTTTCCTACCAATTTTTCTTTATGCCCCCCATTTTGTTTACATTCTATTTCCGGAGTTCGAGAACACTTGGCTTCCCCAAAACACTTATTTTTTATCATTAGAATATTAGATGTTCTATATGTTTCAACTTTTATGTGTGAATAATAGCCACACAAATAATTCATAAGAAAAAAAATCTGGAAGATATTGTAATGAGATCACAAGAAAAAAGTGGGGAGAATTTTTTTCATTTGAAGATAGTCATCCACTCATCCCAAAGTCTTCAAGTGTCCGTTTAAGAGGGTTTGATGATGCAAACATTGTCAATCACTATAATGTGATGATTTCACTCAACGAATTGTCACTTTTTAAATTTTAATATGAAAAATGCTCATAAAAATCATTTTCAAATCAAAATATAAAATATACATATTTTGATGAAAATACATTGGGCATTTAGTTCATCCCGCAATGCGCGTGTAAATAACTAGTATTTATATGTAAGGGAATATTACGTAGCCACAACCATCACAAAATTGACACCTTTTTCTTGATCTTAGAACTTAGAAGTGATGACTTGTTGATGTAACCCTCCTTTATACGGAGTACTACGCATTACTATACGGACTAGCAACGGGTGAGAGTGAAGTCACTGAGGGCGACCAGCCGGACCTCAAATTTACTCCTTTATACTACCTCGTCCCCTTTTAAATGTCCGGAAGAGGGTGACATGAGTTTTAAGAAAAGTGTGTTTGCTTTATACTATCCCCGTCCCCTTTTAAATGTCTGGAAGAGGGTGACACGAGTTTTAAGAAAAAGTGGGTTTGCGTGGTTGATATTAATTGATAAAGTAAGAATGATTTTGAGCCACACAAACTTTACCAAATAAGGTATGTGACATTTAAATAGAGACATACCAATATGGTAAAACGAGACATTTAAAAGAGAACGGATGAAGTACTACATATTACTATACGGACTAGTAATTTGAGGTTCTGTTAAAATTTTCTCCTAGAAGCAATTTTTGATTTCCTTTAAAAAGGAACCAAAAGCAGAAGCAACCACTTAAGCTAGAAGCACCTCACAACCTCACACCTCATATATACTCGAGCTAATCCGGCCATGGTTATAGGATCACTACTTTAGAAAACTTTCAAATTTAGTTCTTTAATGACTTGCACTCAATACCTTCCGCAATGGAAGGGAACTCAAGTATGAGATGATTGATAGAGATCTCTCCCGCTTCTCGGTATTTATGTTACTTATAAGAGGAGTTTTCTAGTATATCAAATCAAGCATTTTCAAACAAATATAGTCCATGCATTTTCAAAAAATATAGACCATTTCTGTCTAATTCCAATAGAATTCTATGAAATTCGTGAGAATCTGAATATAAATAACCCAATTTCGATAAGCATGTATGTAGTGTTATTTTAGATTAGAGGGAATACACCATTTAAGAAATCCACAAAAATTGAGGACAGCTAGAACTTTATGGAAAATATATGATTCTTATTTTGGAGAATTAGTTGGGGACAAATGATTTTTTTGAAATTCTCTACTCTCAATAGTGGACATGTAGAATTCAGTTCGATTTTAAAATTTGTGGAATTCTATATTTTGTATTACTTTTCATTGATCAACACCACTTTTATTATTTGTTTGTTTTCTTACTGCTGTGTCCATCTTGATATTTTTTTATTTTAAAAACACGTTGAGCAAGATTTGTTTTCCTCATTATACAAATCAAAGATATACAAATAAGTCAGTTGAAAACTTTTCTTGTAAATATCAACCGGTTCCTCAAATAGTTTAGCTGTATATTACTAATACATGAGATTACACCGGTGATCATGCTTATATTATGCATACACACTATAAGATGCATAATTAGGAAGAATGGAATAGTCTCTGGAGATGTGGTAAAGTATAAATGTGAAATGAAGCAACTACTTATCACCTACCTAAACATCTTTCATTGGATTACAGCGAGCATGCAGGCAATGTGATGTACTGGCCTGGCCTAGATAGCCATATCTGATTTGCTCTTTTGCACTAACTACTTGGCATCATCTATCAGCTAGCTACTGAAAATCGGTTGTTGATTGAACTACATGCCCGAAGAGTTGATCACGCCCATTCTACTTATAAATTCATCGAAATGATCCTCCCGACTGATCACACTAACCCTAACATATTTTGAGCTGGAACCGAAATGCTTCCCGCCTCTGCTCAAGATCTTGTGCTTCTTAAGGAAGCCCTCACAATCATTGATTTCCCCCTCACATTTCATCCATGCAAAAGCTACAAAGCAGAAAGCCAAGGAGCATGAGAAACTTAAGGTCCAAAAGACGATGGGATAGCTAAATTGTGATTATTATGCCCACCTGGTTGAGTCTCAAACTCATGACCACTAAAGTTGCACTTCCCAATAGGAAAGTTGGGTAGGCTGAAAACTTTTCCATTGTTCACAGCTGCTCTCAGTTTTCCCCACCGCCTTCCTAATTCCTCGTACCCGTACTTAAAGAAGGGCAGTTTGTTGTTGTTATACTTCTCCTTGTCCTCGTATCCATCGGAAATGGCGTTCATAATCTTTGCAGCTCGTATCTGTGACTCCTTTGAGACACCAATGCTAACTATCTCCATGAATTTTGTCATCCTTTTTGCAACTTTTTCATCTTTAACAAGAGCCCAACTATAGAAAAACAAAAAGACTTGCTCTAGCTTCAATTCTTAATTAGAATATACTCCCTCCATCCCAAAAACAACTTTAGAGTTTCACTTGCACAGATATTTATGTAAGATAAGAAAAAACTCTATGACTTTGATTATATCCCTATTTTATGTCAAATCAATTAAAAAAAGTAAATAAAATGTAAGGGTGGTTGTGATATTTGTTATTGAAAATTTTCTTTTTATGGAAATGAAAAATTTATTTTGAGACATCCATATAGGGATAGTGGGAATTTTTTTTTTTTGGAAATTGGGAGGGAGGTAGTATTTAATTATGCGTAGTAATTAATACGGAGTATTATAATATGTGGTTACTCAACTGGATTTATATGTTAATACAACTCATATAGTTGTAGGGTATTAAGTGAGTTTAACAACAGGCTAAACTCGGGTTTGAGTAAGGACTATGATTTCCCAACTTTAAATATGGAGTATATATTTACCTCCACTGGGAAATTCCCAGTGAGAATACACCCTGGAAGTAAACCACTTAATATATTCCACAGGAAGTAAGCCAGAGGGAATAAGGTCACATTTATTTATTTATTGTTATCAATTCATGCACTCAAATCTTGTTCGTCTCTTATATGCATTCTCATGACGTTGGTCTTATAGTTTAATCTTAGATTTTCAGCTGAAATATACCATGTATAAAAAACTTGGGAACGTGCAGTTAAATCCAATAGTTAAGGTCTGGTTCGATATCAATGTCAGTTGTCAATTTGTCGTTTTATTGTTCTGAATGTATATCATATAGGTTTTATGATAATGAACTAAAATAACCATAAACCTTATAATGTTGTTAATTTTTAAATTTTTTAAATTGCCAAAACAGAGAACTGAAAGCAATTTCTTCTGATTTCCTGAATTTTGTTTAGTTTTAAAAAGGCGGAAAACATAAACAGAATGCAATACCCAACAAGGCTTTAACCCCGAACGATTTGGGGAAGGCTAACATGAATCGACGTACGACTTCAGAAAACTGAACAAAAAAGATCTTTTGCGAAATAAAATTAGGTGTTGAGGTGAGCAACACACGTACCCAATGCGAGTCCCAGCATGGCCTGTGCATTTGGACACAGTAAACAGCATTATGTCATTTTCGGCCCGATAAGTAATTGGAGCATATTGAGGCCAATAGTATGCCAGGTCATGAACTAACAGTCCAGATCCATTTACAACAGCTTGTCTTGTTGATCCATCTGGATTGTTGGGTGATGTCACCAGCTCCACGTAAGGCTTGCTGTTCTTGTTAAATGTACTGGCATCTCCTTCCCACTTATGGAGCCCGGACTTCACGCAATCGGTTGCCATTGGATAGTGCTGCAATGGATTGTAAGCATTCATTATTCATACATAACTTAAACTTAAGCTGAGTACTGAGTAGTTCAACGTCAACCTGATTTTCGGATTGCCCAATGTGTTATATGTTGGTTTTTTATTTTATACTTCAACACTCTCACAGTTAGACATCCCATTTCGAACTCGCAATTTTTCATCACATCACACGCTCCTAACATATATAGTCGCTTTTTATACATCTCAAAAATGCAATTTTTACCAGACCCTTCATTTGGACTGTGTTTTCATTTTTTCGAGAAAGACCACATTATTGATACAGAAGTTCAAGTTAGCTGTCATAATAAATTGGATACGACGAACACAGAAGATTCATGCATTTTCAAGATCAACCATAGAACCCCAGCATGATTTAAATTTGACTCACTGAATAAAAAGGTGCGGCCGACACAACACTTATAGGTTCGGGGGTGTCGGGCGGGCATAGAGCATATAAAACCGCCTGGTAGAGTTGAGTAGATCCTGTTCCGACAACGATATGATACTTCTCAGTGGCAGCATTTCCGACTACATTGTGCAATCTCTTCACTGCATTTGCAAAATCTGGCTCCATGAACCAGCAAAGGTTTCCACCATCTGAAAAGTAACTAATAGATTGCCAACCAGTAAACACAACTGTGGTCTTCTCACCCATCTGTTTCCAGTAGCTCTCATACATGGTTGGATCACCACTGTATAATTTCAGTTAGAGCAGCACAAAAAAGAAGTATCCAAATCTTCAGTATTATCAATATAAATAATAAATCTTAAAGGATATTATGGTAATTTTACATCGTGAGGTTCTTGAGAAGAAAGGCAATAAACTAGGTGTACAGCATTTTTAATGGTATAAAAGAAGTATTGCACTGTCCGTCACTCCATCCCATTAAACTTGATCATTTACACTTCACAAGTTCCATTCATGATAATGTTAAAGTTTTTGTAAAAATATTTAAATTAATATTAATGTTTAACATTTGTATATTTTTAGAAACTACGTTAAAAATTCTATTACAATTCAAAAATCAAATTTGAATATGATCATAACAAATTTCATACTCAAAATCAATAGAACAAAAAAGAATTACATAGGTAACAAAATTACTAAACAGACAAAGTTGCGTCTACAACAGATATTTTGGAGCTAAGTAACTTGAACCAAAGACGAGAAAGTGACTTGGTAAAGATGACGGCAGGCTGATGAAGTATTGACTTGAGAAACATGAAGAACTTTTTCCTTAAGATCTCAGAAATGAAAGTGCCAGAGGCCCAGAGTCATATGTTTCATAAGGGAGTGAAGCAAGGGCTGCAAAGTCTATCATCTGGTATTGATATTACCACAAACTAGGCACAGGGAGGCCTGGTATAGAACACAAAGATCTTGATACAACACTTTAGTCCAGCAAACCTCAGCAGCAACACTAACTAATGTATGAATACTCGACTTCAGCAGATAACAGGAAAGCACCACTGTACTTTTTAGACTTCCAAAAATCAAGATTAAGGCCGAAGAATACAACATACAGATACAACGTGGGAGGCGCAAAAACTGAAATTTACGCCATAACTTGTGCTCACCCTCTTACCTCTCCTCACCCTCAAACCCCTTTTCCTCTCTATACTCACAGGCAAAAAAAAAAAACATCCCTAGTGTAGCCCTCAAGTCTTGGAAGAAACCACCATCCTTCTACCATAAAATCAACATTGCCACTCGTGCTCTTACTCCCAGCCTTACCAGAACTGCTGCTCTTATTCGAGATGATTCGGGCAACTATAAGGGCCATATGACTTTTACATTGCCCAGTAATGAAATTATTATGGCATCATATGAAGCAATTGTTGATACTCTTTTGATTATCCCGCATATAACTAACATTGTCATTGAAGTTGATAACAGGGACATATATGAAGGGATAACCGGATTGAGCGTTCAGCACTGGAAGGCCTGGCCTCGTATCCAAGCGGTGAAACGCAGACTCAAGGGCAAAAATTGGTCTCTTACACATATTCATCCTAAAATCAATATGGCTGCAGAGTATTTAGCTTATAGAAACACTTCTATTAAAACCTCTAGTCATCATTTTAATCATTTTGTTGGAATCCTTAAGTTTGATGCCATTAGCTATCCATATGTATTTTAATTATTTGAGTAGGCTTTGGTTTGGTCCTCCTACTCTTGTATTATTATCTCCACTACAATAAATTGGTAGGGTGTTCCCTGACCCCTACCCCAAACAACCTTTTTGGTTTTTGGCATTCACCGGGTTTAAAAAACGTGGGAGATGGAGTTGGAACACGAACAACTGAGAATAACATGAGAAAATTCTCTAAAGAGGAATTGAATAAGGCATACATAGTGACATTTTTTCCTCAAATAACACCACTATTATTTTCATTTCTCCTCAAATAACACCACTTTTGTTTTCATTTCCATCATTTGTAATGGAACCAAAGACTTACTATTTTTTGGCTTGGGGGTATGATGGAATAAAGTAAAATGACTCATTAAACTGTCTGCGCTTCTTTGTTATGAAGCAGTCAGTAGTCAATCCATGCAATTTTCGACGCGATTTTCACTTTGGGTCATCCGGAAAACAGTCTCTTTGTGCTTTAGTACAGGGTAAGACTGCGTACATCCGATCCTCCCTTACCGCACCATAGGTGGGAGCCTTTGCGGCATTGTTTTCTTCTCAAAATAGAACCCATCCAGTCCTCAAAATAAGTTTTACGTAGTACTATCCTCCGTTCCATAAAAGTTGCAACAGTTTGACTTTCACGTTTGCCAACGCGCAACTTTGACTGTAATTATAGTTATTTACGTATTAGTAAACATTAAAAAAAGTTAATATATTGGAAATTTACATTAATACAAATTTATTAATATTTTATACATAATATTTTTATTATATATATTATTATAAAATCGTAGTCAAAGTAAGGTGTGTGAATAGTGCAGAAATTCCAATGTTGCAACTTTTATGGAACGGAGGAAGTATTATTTTTTATCTTTGAACATATTATATCCCTATTTTAGGAATTTCCTAAATAACATTGTCCACATAGAACAAAATACAGTGTATATGGATGGAGAGTTGGGATGATAGGTGAAGAGAAAGCATCAATGGTGGATTTAGCTAAAATTATAGATAGTAAGAGTCTAGCAGATGCATGATGCCAAGCACATGGGACTTTGTGTAAACCATACAAAGACTCTTGTAAATGACAAGCAAAAGAAGGCATCAACCAGCCCAGTGGTTACTGCAAATATACTCGCTCAATAAAGAAAACAAGCACAATGGTAAATCAGCTTTACAACTGGACAGCATGTCTCATGATAGTCCAAGCGAAGATGCCTATGAAAACCCTTAGAAACCAATACCATTTTCCACTCAAAAATCACTAGGAAAGTACTGGAGTATAAAGTTATAGAACTAAAATAAAGACATACATAACTTACGATATTAAATCTGCAAATTTATCTATATTTATCAAGTGTTGTGTAGCATCACCATTATGAAACTCTTAGGCACTACCTACTCATCCATGGGCGTAGGTAGGGGTGGACCCAGGTTGGTCTGGTCCCGGTTCCGGGCCGAGACCGACCGGTCCTAAAAAACTTCAACTAGACCAGGCCCGAACCGCTATATTCCGGGTCTAGTCCACATTTGGGTACTCGGGTGGTCCGGCCCCGGCCTGGACCTGTTTATTTAACCGGTTTTGAGCTATAAAAAACTGGTTGGTCGAAGACCGAAACCGCCCGGTGGAATCCCAAATATTGGAGCCCGGGACCGGGCCCGCCGGTTACCCGGTCTTGAACCAGTTCGAAATTACGCACTCAATTGAATCCCACACAGTACCGGACTCGATTGCGGAACGGGTCGGACTGGGCCGGACCACTATGTGTAGGTAAGGGAATGTTAGGCCCCGACCTATCACCAGTTTTAAAAAACTTTGATTATTAATGTAAGAAAATTGTATCCATATTCCATAACTGGACCGTACTCATGTGACATGTTCGCCAAAAAACATGCTCTGTATAACTTGTAGGTTGTAAGGGTGTAAAAGTCACCCATGGAAGGGGTAAATTGAGCTACGATCACACTAATAGAAAGAAAATGCAGTTTCATTTCAAATTATTGATTGGAGTTGAATTCAGACTTCTCCACATTACTTTTCTTACCTGGTGAGCTATGCCTAGGGCTGGGCACGGGCCGGGTTGGGGCGGGTAATGCAAAATAAAATAGAACCGCCGGTTCCATTGTCCGGTCCGGTCCGGGTTTTACGGTTTCTATTCTTATGTCTTAAAATTATTAAAAACTCACAAAGTTCCAAAAATCGATAACCAATAATATAGTACATTAGCAAGTTTCAAAATAACAACAAACAACATAGTGATGCACATGTAACACAAGTGACAAGTCCAATACTCTATAATTTCATTTATAAGTTCCAAACAATTAAAGAAGTTCCAAAAATCAACAACATAGCCAAAATACATATTTTCTAACATTTGAATTTAAAAATGTTGTCTAACATCACATATTAAGGTGATTGTGTTTTTTTTATTAAATTTTCAGTATTAGCCAAAGTTGACACATACATGAAAGAACAAATACTCAAATTCCATAGAAAGGAATAATTCAATAACAATAAAAAGTAATAAAAAATTTATGTAAAATTTAATCAATAATTTGAAAGCAAAATGATGTTACTGCAACTCAATTTAGCATAGGAAAACAAAACTATTTCAAAACCGATTATCACAAAACTATTAATAAATTAATATACAATATATAACGGGTCAGGCAGGGTACTCGGTATTTTTTTATTTTGGAACCGGCCCGGGTCCTTAAAAAAATTACCCGGACCTACTCGTGTTAAGTTTGTTAAGAAAGACGGATGAGGAAGAAAACAGTTCTGGGAGTTAGTTACGCATACAACAACTCTGGGTTATTTAACCCGAATACAAAGTATATCAGTCTTGGGCTTTACAAACATAATAGGCCCAAACAATATTATTTAATAATGGGCTGAATTCCTGTACTCAATACACCCCCTGAATTTCAGCACATGACAAAATATTCAAAGCTTTCCTTTGATCTAAAAACACTCGTATCTTCAATGGCTTTGTCAGAATATCAGCCAACTGCTCTTGAGATCTGCAATGCTTCAGCACCAACCTATCTTTGTTTACTTGATTCCTCAGAAAGTGGAAACGGGTATCAATGTGTTTACTTCTGCCATGAGCTATAGGATTTCTTGCCAAGTTTATTGCTGAGTTGTTATCTATCATCAGAACTGGTATATGTTTAATATCAAGCTGCATTTCCCTCAACAAAGACTCCAGCCAAAGAGCTTCACATGCTGCAAAAGCCCCAGCTATATACTCAGCTTCACATGATGACAAAGCTACTACAGGTTGCTTCTTTGAACACCATGTAACTGGTGCATCTCCAATCATGAAAACATATCCTGAAGTACTCTTCCTGTCTTCTATATCTCCTGCCCAGTCTGAATCTGAGTAGCCTTTAATCACTTCCTTATCATCTTTGATTGAATTAGGCAGAAGCACACCAAAATCCAATGTTCCTTTTATGTATCTCAATACCCTTTTAGCTGCAGCTAGATGAGAAACCTTAGGACTTTCCATAAACCTGCTTATTACTCCAACCCCATAGGTAATATCAGGTCT